CAGATGAAGATGGATAAACGTCTGCAAGGAGAGGCTGGTTCCTATGACAAGGATGGGGCGAAGGAAAACGCATCGTGAACAAATAACCCAATGTGAGTGTGAAGCGGAGTTTGGAAGGTGCTCCTGCTGTGATGTGGTTGATTAGTTTGATTTGCTGTGATTTGTTGGTATTAGTCTGTTTTGCTCGATTTTTTTGATGAGTTTGATTTGTTTGTCCCTGGTCGGACGTTGATTTTCATTGTAGTTTGTTGGCGTATCGATTGTGTATTTGTTTCTATTTTGCCTCTTTTTAAGATTGATTAGTGCGCTTGCTGCGTATGGCACAGTGTTCGCGGTCCTCGTATACCTCGTAGAGCCCTGAAAAGGTCTTTGGTGGGGAATATGTTGCGTATCGGTTCTATTAGTAAGAAAGACTTTTCATGGCATAACGGTTTTTGCCTAGGTACGCTTCTATAGTTTTGAAATGGACTGTAGTTGGTATGTGGCAGCTGATGGGACAGAGAGACTTTTGCTCCCCGAGCTTGTGTATGTAAATAGTGTTTTCTGGTTTGAGGGAAAGAGACAAACGGGAAAAGTCTGAAGAAAAAATTGACTGTCACTATAAATAGTGTCATCAGCACACGAAGCACAGAAGCCATATAATTTCGACTAGGCCTTTCGTACCATTACTCTTCAAGTCGAATAGAATGGTGATTAACAAGGTAGCAAGCAAGTCCTTATAACCGGCACTTTGGCGGTCAGAGCATTGACAAAAATAGCACTTGAAAATAGCGCTAGTGGTGCCAACAACATATTTGGCGGTCAGAGCATAGACCAAATAGAACTTAAAAGATAGCGCTAGTGGTGCCAACTACACAGTGAGACAATGAATATTACCAGTATCAGACAACAGTGGGGACCACGGTACTACAATGTCAAAACAGTGACAACTTTCGCACATACTTCTTTTGGGCGCACAGTTCAGGCTTCAGCTTGGCAATGTACACTGCCTCCAGCACAGCAAGGTGAGAATTTTGCGCGAACGCGCTTGAATCGTGAAGTGAGAGTGGGTGCCATGTTTGCAGACTTCACTTAGGCAGGCTGGTGACGATGTCAGGTGACGGAGTATCGCCGAGTCCTTCTCATTATTGTCATTGTCCGTTGGTCCATTCCTGTGGTAGCTATTGTGCATCGCCGTTGTGCCGCTGGCGACTTCTCTGCCGGGCGAGGAGAAGGCCTAGTCGAAATGGCTTCTGTGCTTCGTGTGCTGATTTGCTTTCCTCCAACCAAAAACCTATCAAATAGTGTTTTACGTCGACCATGACGGCTCGCTTTGAATTGCAGAACGGCTGCTCCGATACGAACTCTAAAACCAGAATAATAATATTGGTTAGCATTCCGCGCACGCAGACGGCATGCAGGCAGGCATACATCATTAGCATTCCGCGCACACAGACGGCATGCAGACAGGCATACACCACACGAATAAGGCTAGGTTGTGTTGGGCAAGTACTGGTGACGAGGAACTGGTTGGTCTTTGCCGCAAGGTAGGCACGAGCCCGTGAGGCTGCGAGTGCCGCAGAAAGGCAGAAGCCTGGAGGCTGTGATTGCCGCAGGAAGGCAGAAGCCCGGAGGCTGCGATTGCCGCAATGGAAAGGCAGGACCATAAGGCCATAATGCCGCAATAGAAAGGCAGACCAGTTATGAGTGACTCGCCACCAGGTTTATTGTACTTGAAGTAGGAATGATGCAATGTAGTATTAATGGTTAGTGGTGGGATGGTGGGTCAGCAAAAGACAAAGGCAGCAGGATGCAAGTCGGGCATGAGCCAAAGCAGAGAAGACTCAAAACTGAGAATGGTAAGGAGATGTGCCACGTTGCGGACTCGGACCCGATCAAAACTGAATTAATTATTGTGATGGCGTACGCATAAATTAATGTGATGCACAGCAGGCAGTCTTGCCGGTCGCGGCAAGGCGCCCTAAACAAGTGCCGCGGCCAGAACCGTAGAGGGCGCTGTTGCGCAGCAGATACGTAGTTGCGAGATGTGCGCCTACGCTAAACTGAATTCATTACATGAATACATCATTAGCATTCCGCGCACGCAGACGGCATGCAGGCAGGCATACATCATTAGCATTCCACGCACACAGACGGCATGCAGACAGGCATACACCACACGAATAAGGCTAGGTTGTGTTGGGCAAGTACTGGTGACGAGGAACTGGTTGGTCTTTGCCGCAAGGTAGTCACGAGCCCGTGAGGCTGCGAGTGCCGCAGAAAGGCAGAAGCCCGGAGGCCGTGATTGCCGCAGGAAGGCAGAAGCCCGGAGGCTGCGATTGCCGCAATGGAAAGGCAGGACCATAAGGCCATAATGCCGCAATAGAAAGGCAGACCAGTTATGAGTGACTCGCCATACCGCCAGTACATACCCATACACAACAGTATTGCAGTGCAGCATAGCATAGATCATTATGAGGGAATTGTGTGAATCGAGAAACATCGGTGTCAGGGAGATGATCTTACTGAGGATAGTTTGCTGGCCAGCGTTCGGGCCGATGACGGTGGTGTCCGGATGTAGCGTAGGCATGCATCACTGCGCCACCGCCCTGCGGAGCGGATCTGGTGGTCGGGGACGCCAGCAAGGGCAGCAGTGGTAGCGGCCCCGATACGGAAGCTGTGGCCTGCATAGTCCTGCCAGTTTGCCACGCCGCTGGTGCTAAGCAGCGTACGTACGTGGGCTGTAAAAGTGCTGCGGTTGAGGCGTTGCCCGTTGGCCAGGATGAACACAGCACTGCCTGGACGAGCAGAGGCGGTTGCAGTGAGGTAGGTGAGCATGGCTCTCACAGCGCAGTATGGCGGCACCGCTGGCCCGATCAGCACCGTCGTACCTTCCCCGGACGGGTCTGTCTTCGAGCGTGGTAGATGCGCATGGAGCATCCCTGACTCGAATGTCACACAGCCGCGCGTGGTAGGTGCTTCTAGCAGTTCACCGCATCTGAAGAAACCAAAGAACACGGCAAGCATAGCGGCATGCAGGCAGCGCTTGTCGTGAGGGCACATGGTTGGAGCAGCTAGGCAGGTGTCAACCAGACTGCAGAGAATAGGAAACGTGATTGGCAGCCTGGGGCGGACAGCGGCTACTCCATGGCAACGGCAAATACCGCGTACCACTCGCTTGAGGAAGTGCGCGCCCTCGGTCGGGTCGACATAACCGAGCTCCAGGTGCAGGTTCTTGATAGCACTGAGGTAAACCTTAATAGTCACTGGTCTGACCGACTGGGTTAGGGAGGCAGCAAAACTACTCAGCATTAGGTCTGAAGCGGGAAACGGGGACCATCTTTGAAGTTAGCAGAACTTGAGATACATAGATTCGCCGGCGGAATACGTTCGTCTGGTGTTGTCGGATAGAGCATGAGCAGCATACCGTGCTGCTAATTCGTCCGCGGCAGTTAGAATGACTGGAACAGGTCAGCTGTCGCCCGAGCTCCCGGAACCGCCTCGCGAAACGCCTGCATGTAAAAACGAGACAGAGCATCAGCGGCTTTGTTAGTGCATCCTGGAATATGCTTTGCTGACAGAATGAAGCCAAAGTTAGCGCACATGAAGAACAGCCGTCGTATCAGATCCATGACTGGGGGGGGGGGGGGGAGCAGCTACAACCATTGGACAGGCATGCCACTACAGCTTCGTTATCGCAGTACACGAGTATGCGGAGCTTGCGCCATTCAAGGCCCCAGGAGGAGCAAGCTGCGGCAATGGCGAACATCTCCTTCCACTCGATGGAGTAGTCGGCTTGTTCCGGCAACCACTGTCCCTGGATCCAGCGATGGCCATAACATGCGCCCCAGCCGATCGAACCGCTGGCATCAGCCCGACATGACTAGGCAATGACAGTTCGGTCAGCAAAAGACAAAGGCAGCAGGATGCAAGTCGGGCATGAGCCAAAGCAGAGAAGACTCAAAACTGAGAATGGCAAGGAGATGTGCCACGTTGCGGACTCGGACCCGATCAAAACTGAATTAATTATTGTGATGGCGTACGCATAAATTAATGTGATGCACAGCAGGCAGTCTTGCCGGTCGAGGAAAGGCGCGCTAAACAAGTGCCGCGGCCAAAACCGTAGAGGGCGCTGTTGTAAATGCGTTGAAAAGGTCTCCGTTGCACGTCCTGAAATCTCGTCACGACTTCGACTCCTTGCCTGTTTTCCTGCAAGCTGTTGCTGCATGCCATTGATTTAGTCTAATTGATTCTGTATTAGGTAACTTCTCTTACCTGTTGGTCTTTGGCCACGAGTGTCGTCTGAGTAATTATGAACATTGCGTGCGTTTGCTAGTAGAGTTCACGATTTGCTAGAGTTACTTACGTGCTTTGTTACTATTCTCCCTGAGTGAAGTTCCGCTGCTGAGTAATCCTACGATGTGTCACTATCTGACAGGGTTTACTCTCACCCATATCGGGTGCAAGCACCCACTGACAGGTGAAACCCTTCGGCTTCCCATACGTCTCTTTCCTCTTTCCTTTCGGATTAATTATTGTAGTTTGAATTTCTATTTGTTTATTTATTTTGTGTGTGCGTGCACGAGCCGCTGCCATGTTTCTTCAGTCGTGTATACCGTCATACGGTCATCTCACGCGTGCACGATATCTGGCTTGCCTTATTTGTTGCGTGTTTGGTACGCTGAGTTCGCTTGGGTCGCCGTGTGTGCACCGGTACTGGCACGTTTTGCTGATGACAGCGTTTTGAGTGGTTTGTTCCTTGGTTGTTTCCTTTGGTGTTTTTCGTTGTTCTCTCAGAGTCGCAATAGCTCTCTTACCCGTATATCCGTTATGCATTCTATTCTATCATTACTGTAATGTTTATCTATCTAAACTCGTAATGCCCGTGGTGGTTGAGACTGAGAGTGCTTGTGTGCGGTACGCCTGGAAGTCTTGAGTGAGGTATCGTTGAGATACAACGCATACATAAAATTTGGCGACCACGCCAGGATAGTACTGCACTGGAGCGAGGAGCAGGGCCGATGTATTCGGCTGGGAGTGTGGAGGCAACGTTCATTGCGAACGGTAAGGCCTATGGTTATACTGGAGAGAGTCTGCGGAGTTACGTGGAGAGCAGGCGGGTCGAGCATGCCGAGCAGATCCAGAAGAGTGAAGAGCGCAAGGCTCGAATGGAAGAGAGAGACAGTACCAGGCAGCAAACAGAGTTGCTGGACAAGATAACGAAGTTAGAGGCGAAAGTCGAGTTAGCGGCTCAACAAGATGACACAGCGAGCAGTGTGTCTGCGGAGAGCGCTCAGGGGCTGAGAGCCAAACCGATAAAAATTCCGAAATATGATGCAAAGCAGACGGTGGAAAGCTACTTGGAGCTATTTGAAGACGTGGCCAACCAAAATCAGTACGAAGTTGAGGAGCTACTGATACGCCTACGAGTGGCCCTGGCGGGGAGTAAGCTGGAAAGTGCCTGCTATGGTTGTGAAACCTTTGCCGATGCCAAGCGTGAGCTGTTGACGGCATTTGGCAAGACGGCGGACAAAGCCTGGCAAGCCCTCATCGCTAACACCCAGAAGGCAGACGAGAGCTTTTACCAATTTGTCGTGCGAGTAAGTCGGGACACTGAGAAGTGGCGAAAGCTCGCAATGCCAAAGTCTGAGGACAGTCATCGCGGTGGACGCGATGAGAGTGGGCTATTTGCAGCCATGGTACGGCAAGTGATATTGGAGGCGATAGGTCCAGATATGAAAGCATTCATGATCGAAAAAAGGTGCTACGAGAAGGACCTGAAGGCATTCACTGAGGACGGCATGGCCTACCAAACCGCCCATGGCCGTAAGTCACTGAAGGTGAAGTCACCTGAGACGCATTACATCACACCTCAACATAGTGCCCAGTGCTTGGGAGTTTCCGTCGAAGGTGCTGAGAAGGAGCTTGCTACGCTTGCGCCGGTGGAACGCAGATGGTTTGTAGCCAGGGAGAGGCTGTGTTACAATTGTCTGAGAGTGGGCCATCAGGTCAAGGAATGTCAGTCTAAGACAAGGTGCAAATGCGGCTCCAAACACCACCCGCTGCTGCACTGGCCATCCGAAACTAAGCCGCCTAGGGGCACGGACAGCGAGGGTATCAGAACGTATAGCTGTACAACGTCCGCCGGTGTACACCTCATGACTGGAGTGGCAGAGGTGTGTGGATCAAAACGAGCTCGTGTCAGGGTATTCATTGACCCAGGATCGCAGGCTTCGTTTATTTCTGCCTCCCTAGCGTCAGCAATTCGACCATCCTGCCTGAGCACAGACGAAGTCAAGGTCACTGCGTTTGGAACGGAGCCAGTAGTACGGCAACTGGAGCGTCTAGAGGTAGTCTTGACGGGAACCTCGCGGGCAATCACGATCCGAGCATGGAAGAACGACGACATGAGGATGAAGTTCCCCCCAGTTGCAAAGTCCACAATCCAGCAATGGCAAGCCAGTGGAATTGAGCTCAGTGACCAGCCTAGTGAAGGTATACCCAATGAGGTACACTTGTTAATCGGTGCGGATCATTGCAATGAAATTCTCAAGGAGAAGAAGGTGGTCAATGGAGAAACCGCATGGAGCACAGAGATCGGCTGGGTCTTGTGCGGACCTACGAAGAGTTCCGTCCCAGCAGCTACGGTGAGTGTTGGCTGCATTGAGCTTGACCGGCTTTGGCGGATGGAAGAAGTTCCAGAGCGGTCAGCTACAGCGCTACCAGACTTTCTGCTGGAGAGAGAGGGTCCCAGCTACCAAGTTGGCCTTCTGTGGAAGGCAGAGAAGCGCCCACCGGACAACCTTAACCAAGCTATGGCAGCCGCGCAAGCATTAGTACAACAGCTACAGCGTAAGGGCAAGCGTCAAGAGTACGACCGCGTGCTCCTTGAAGAGTATGCGCAGCTGGACGCCATCGAGAAGGAGGAGCATCCAGAGGAGCCAGGCTATTACATGCCACACCATGCAGTATTTCGCAGCGACGCTACCACAACCAAGACGAGAGTCGTCTTCAACGCATCAGCGTCGAGATCAGGAGAGCAGTCGCTAAATGACCTGGTGGATCCAGGACCATCCCTTCTGCCAGATTTGGTGGGGCTCTTGCTCCGTTTCCGTGAGTACCCAGTTGCTTTTCAGGCTGATATACGGAAAGCATTCTTTATGATAGGAATGCGGCCGGAGGACAGGCCATACCTCCGGTTTGTCTGGCCGGAGATAGGGCAGGAGCAGATGTGCATTTGGCGCTTGAAGAAGCTGCCTTTTGGGGTGAATTGCTCACCTTTTATTCTGAGTGCTGTTCTGCGCTATCATTTAGATCATGCTTTAGGCTCTGCTTCTGCTGAGGAATGTGCCATTATTAAGCTTCTCTTGCGCAGCTTTTATGTTGATGATTGCGTATCTAGTGTGCCTTGCTCTGCTGATGCTGAAAAGCTGCAGGAATACAGCATGCATATGTTGCAGGGAGCAGGCATGGAGTTGCGGAAATGGCGGGGAAACACGCTTCCATCAGACCCAGAGGCAGGTAGCAAGGCGCTAGGCATCGTGTGGGCGACCGAAGAAGATGTCATCTCAGTTGCTGATCTGGGTAATGTCGATGCCCCAAGTAAGTTTGGCTGGTCCCGTCGTGCGTTGCTGCGCTGCGTCGCTGCAGTGTATGATCCTCTTGGTTGGGCATCACCCGCTATTTTGCCTGGCAAGTTCCTGTTGCAAGAGTGTTGGAAGTTGGGTGGAGGATGGGATGACCCCCTACCAAGCAGTTTGTCCGTGCGTTGTGCCGAATGGTGGGGAGGGCTGGCAGATATCTCTGCAGTTCGCATTCCCAGGTGGCTCGGTTGCCCAGTTGGGAAGCCTGTCTTCTTGCATATGTTTGCAGATGCATCTGAGAAGGGCTATGGCTGTTGTTTGTACGTGGTGACTGGTGTTGTTTCCTCTTTGTTGTTCGCGAAAGCAAAGGTGGCACCTGTGGCTCGGCCTACTCTCGCTCATCTGGAGTTGCAAGCGGTGTGCCTTGCCGCGAAGGTGCTGTCATTCGTTGTCAGTGAGCTGAGGATTCCGATCGAGCGGATTGTTGGCTGGACCGACAGTCTGACTACTTGGCATTGGATCTCGAAGCCGTCGTATCAGTGGAAGACGTATGTCGCTAATCGGGTAGCAGCTGTGCAAGAGGTGTCGCGGAAGTTGCACGTAGAATGGCGTCACTGTCCCGGTGTGAGCAACCCAGCAGATCTTGTGTCCCGCGGTGTTCCGGTGAGTGGCCTTCAGACAGTGATATGGTTGCATGGCCCGCCTTGGTTAAGCGAGGAGTCTGAGTGGCCACAGTCGATTTCGTCTCACAGCACGCAAGAGTCCGCCATTGAAGCACGCGTAGCGGCAGTGAATACAGTCAGGCAGTCAGTTGTTTGGCCATGGGAGAATCTTTCGAAGTGGCAACGGGCTCGTGGAGTTGTCGTGCGGATGCTCCAGTGGAAGGAGCCGGCAACCCGCGCTGAGCTGTTCCCTAAAGCAGAAGCTTTCTTGTACCGGTCCATCCAACAAGAGTGTTTCGCGGAGGAAATCGCTATGCTGAAAGAAGGCAATTCCTTGCCTCCTAGTTCTCGCTTGTACAAGTTGTCACCCTTCCTCGATGACGCTGGGTTGCTGCGGGTCGGCGGCAGGCTGCAGGAAAGTGAGCTAGGATATGACGCTAAGCACCCTATCATCCTAGCGAAACATCATCTGACCGAGCTCTTGCTGGAGATGGTGCATAAGCAACGATTGCACCAAGGTGTCGAGAGCGTCCTTGCCTTTCTTCAACGCAAGTTTTGGATTCTGTCTGGGCGTCGCCTGCTGAGAAGTGTTACCGAGAGATGCTTTGCTTGCCGTTGGTTCAAGGCCAAAGCAGCAGCCGAGGTGGTGGCGCCCTTACCAGCAGACCGTGTTGAACATCAACAGCCGTTCGGCCTTACAGGCATAGACTACGCCGGTCCTCTTTACGTCCAAACGGGAGAGCGGTCCGCAAAGCGATGGGTCGTGCTCTTTGTATGTGGTACCACTAGAGCAGTTCATCTGGACATGGTGGATAGTCTGTCAACAGAAGCGTTCCTTCTTGTCTATCGCAGATTCGTCGCGCGGCGTGGGAAGCCTTGCAGAATTCGTTCGGACAACGCTACGACGTTCAAGGCTGCCGCGGAGAAGATAGAGGTAGTGTGGAGCTTCAACCCACCCGCAGCACCCTGGTTTGGCGGGTTTTATGAGCGCCTGGTCGCTTGCGTGAAGACACCTCTGAAGAAGGTGTTGGGCAAAGCGCTTCTGAAACCTGAGGAGCTGGCCACAGTCCTGGCGGAGATCGAGGCAGTGGTGAATTCGCGCCCGCTTACGTCCGTATCAACGGACATCGGTGATGACATGGCCTTGACCCCAGCCATGATGATGGGATATGTCTTTGCACCAGGGGCCCCCGAGGTAGAAGACGGCCTTACAGCTGCACAATTATCGGCCCGGTTCAGTTACATCATCAATGTCAAGGAGCACCTGAGGAAGCGGTGGCGGGAACAGTACTTGGTCGGCCTCAGCAGCTACCAGTCCGCCCAGGCCCGTCCGATCAAGGCTGGTGAGGTTGTCCTGGTTGTTGACGACAAGAAGAAGCGGCACCTTTGGCGCCTCGGTAGAGTGATAGAGCTGTTCGCTGGTCGAGATGGCAAGAGCCGAGTAGCACGGGTGAAGATTGGTAACAGCACCATGCTCCGGGCAATTCCCCGTCTGGTTCCGTTGGAAGTGGCTAGTGAGCCCGAGCAAGTGGCTAGTGAACCGGAGGTGCCAATCGAGCAGCTGGCAAATACTCCAGCGGATGAACAGAGTGATCCCGTCTCAACCCCAGCAAGTCCAGATGTGGGGCAACCGGCTGAGCCACGAGAGTCACCTTGTTTGAGGAGGTCTAGGCGGGCCGTCAGGATCCCAGCTCGTCTTGACTTGTAGTGTGCGAAGACCTTTGGTGGGGAGGATGTTGTAAATGCGTTGAAAAGGTCTCCGTTGCACGTCCTGAAATCTCGTCACGACTTCGACTCCTTGCCTGTTTTCCTGCAAGCTGTTGCTGCATGCCATTGATTTAGTCTAATTGATTCTGTATTAGGTAACTTCTCTTACCTGTTGGTCTTTGGCCACGAGTGTCGTCTGAGTAATTATGAACATTGCGTGCGTTTGCTAGTAGAGTTCACGATTTGCTAGAGTTACTTACGTGCTTTGTTACTATTCTCCCTGAGTGAAGTTCCGCTGCTGAGTAATCCTACGATGTGTCACTATCTGACAGGGTTTACTCTCACCCATATCGGGTGCAAGCACCCACTGACAGGTGAAACCCTTCGGCTTCCCATACGTCTCTTTCCTCTTTCCTTTCGGATTAATTATTGTAGTTTGAATTTCTATTTGTTTATTTATTTTGTGTGTGCGTGCACGAGCCGCTGCCATGTTTCTTCAGTCGTGTATACCGTCATACGGTCATCTCACGCGTGCACGATATCTGGCTTGCCTTATTTGTTGCGTGTTTGGTACGCTGAGTTCGCTTGGGTCGCCGTGTGTGCACCGGTACTGGCACGTTTTGCTGATGACAGCGTTTTGAGTGGTTTGTTCCTTGGTTGTTTCCTTTGGTGTTTTTCGTTGTTCTCTCAGAGTCGCAATAGCTCTCTTACCCGTATATCCGTTATGCATTCTATTCTATCATTACTGTAATGTTTATCTATCTAAACTCGTAATGCCCGTGGTGGTTGAGACTGAGAGTGCTTGTGTGCGGTACGCCTGGAAGTCTTGAGTGAGGTATCGTTGAGATACAACGCATACATAAAAGGCGCTGTTGCGCAGCAGATACGTAGTTGCGAGATGTGCGCCTACGCTAAACTGAATTCATTACATGAATACACCACTACAATTCCCAACCATACCACAACAAACTGATCGGCTACATCATTGTAATGCAAAAAGTTTCTATCTGTCCGAATAACATGCATGATGAGCTAAACAAAAAAGCATAGCATAGGGCCCTGAGCGAAATGAATAATTTTTTTCCTTGCATTCGAGGGTAGTACGACACCGTCTACCACCTTGATGACCTAGGCATAAAAGCATAGGGACGTTAAAAAAAATTCATTTCTCCAATTTTTTCTAGACATAGCCTAGGATTCAAACCCGCACTATTGCCGTGCATGCATTCCCCCGATACACTTCGCATACATACTCATTCTTCCAAGTTGCTTCACGTTATGATCTTGCATTTGAAAGCCCTATTTTATTGTGGCCAGCTGTCTTTGATGGTACGTAGAGGACAGGTACCGGATAGCGCCAGGCATATGGCGACGGCACACGGGACAGGTACGAGATAGCGCCAGGCATGCCGATGGCACAAATAAACAATCAAACAAACACGAAATTAAAGCTATGTGGACCCTGGCTAGCGCCAGACGTTACTGAAATAACGTATTTTGCATAGCTACGGGAATAATAATAATAATCGATTCAGTGATTGTGCAAAGATGCATACCTGTGACAAAATAGCAGTCCGCATAAGGACCGGCCCGCTGCGAGCTACGCCGCACTATCTGCCGACAGCTATATCATTCTGCCCTCTCTGGACCAACCTCATACTTCCCACCGAGGGCACACAAGGGGCCGCCTTGGCCAGCAAACCGCCCACCGAGGACCAAACCAGCTTAAGTTTTTTTTACCGTACTGTTTCTATGGTTGTAGCCAATGAGCGATGTTTCCGCGGTGGCCTTGATGAGCCGATAAAGCCAATCGTCAATGGATATGGAAAAAATACTGTAGCAATAAAGCCCGTCGTCAATGGCACCCCATACTCTGTCAGCCTAGCTCGGCAGGGGTCTATGGCAGTTTTTCGTTGTCAGCTCAGTTCGCATCTCACATTCGACTGTGAACATGCTCTGGTACCTGGAAACAGCCTGTCGAAAAACGGCAACATGAAAAGTGTCTACACATCGTGATCAGTTTCCAACTCAAGTTATGGTTGTCGCGAGTGGAGATGAACTTTTACGATAGTTTTGAATAAGCGAAAGAGAATTTACCTATCTATCTGTTCAGAAGCAAGCTGAAATAAGTGGCAGACATCACGATCAGTTTTCCATTTTTGTTCTACATGTATATGTACTAAAAAAGTAGTTGACGAGTTTAAACAACCGACGAGGAGACAACAGTCGTAAAACAGCAATGAAAAATATCAATTGTGCACTCATAACCATGTATAAAACAATTAAAATGAAACAATTCCAGAACGTTTTCTCGTGACTATCATCAGTGGAACATCGTCACATAGTAAGAATCACTAAAACAACCAGTTATATAGCTAGAATACTGTAAAATCCATATATATAACGAAGTGCTAACTCTAACGAGTTAACGAGGAGAAACCTGTCGTTAAAATAGAAATCGTTATACAGAAATCGATACATATACTGTCCTATTGAGCGTTGAGAATGAGTGAGAATCGTTACCTTTGGTACACGTAAACTAGTCACTTCTGGGAAATCGTTATATATGCGCCTTGTTAGAATAATGGCTTTTACAGTAATATGAAAGTCTGCCATCTACAAGCATTTGGTGTCCAGTTCGGATCGTTGTAAGTTGTTTGACGATTCCCGGTTTAGTGTTATTTGTTGCGCACGTTTCTTTAAGCAGTTGCAGGTGTTGGAAGCTGTTTATATTCGTACACGTGACCCTGTGCTATGCAAGCAAAAAGAAAATGTTGTAGCACTCACACTTTTCAAATAATACACACTCACCAGTAATGTCCACACGCACTCACAGCTGCCACATTCATCTACTGCTTCCACTCTCAGATCCACTGCATAAGTTCACACTGCACGCGTTATGCATAACCCCGAGCTGCTGCATTCTCACTCTTCTTTTCATATTATTCTAGCTATATAAAACTGGTTGCTTTAGTGATTCTTACTGTGTTACGATGTTCCACTAATGATAGTCACGAGAAAACGTTCTGGAATTGTTTCATTTTAATTGTTTTATACATGGTTGTGAGTGCACAATTGATATATTTCATTGCTAGTTGACGAGTCGCCGGACCTTTCAGGTAATTTTGAGGAAGCGAAAGATCATGGACCTGCTCTGAAGCAAGGATCATCCCATTCGTGAGAAGTGAAAGGAGCTGAAACTCACAAGCTGAATCCACCACGTCCCCAACCACCACCCCTATTGGTGTCTTGCTTTTATACCAGAAACACGAACGACAAAACCGGAAACACGATCATAGAGGTCTTGAAGGACTTTTTGCCTTCATCAATACCTCGTGCGTTCGGCCGTGGGCGCAGGCTTCGGCACTACGCACCTTGCGCCCTTGGCCGTACACACTCGGCCTTGGTTCAGCCATAAAGTCCTGCCAGATCTCTATGATTGTCTAAATACAGCCCACCAAGGGCACACAAAATGCCAGAGAGGCCAACAATCGGCCCACCGAGGGTCAATCATCTTTCCCGCTGGGGGCCGAAAGCATACAGATTGTCCTATGCACACAAACGGTCACCGAGGCCAGCAAACTGCCCACCGGTGGCCGGTATCATCTTTCCAGCGGAGGGTACACAAACAGCCACCGAAGTTTCACACAACTGCCTGGCATCACGCCTCACACCATACAGACAGAATAGGCTGCCCATCCTTCCCCCCCCCCACCCGAATGGAGAAACAAATGCCAAAGTAAAAGAGTGGGAGGGAGGGAAAACAGCGTCTTGACAAGCTAACTGCAAAAGTCCGCTCCTTTCGCACCAACACAGATCGACAAGACAAGTCTCCAAATTAGACGCCTTACCTACGATTGTCCGTAAACTTTCGTCACACTACACTTTATTTGGGCTTGTGTACATGTTAATCGGGCAGTAAAGGGTTCAAATGCTCTTGGGGTGCTTCTGAGTAACAAGATGTATACGTGGTATTGAATGTTTAACAGGTATCAGCTGTCCACAACCAGATTCACTTACCAATGGTAAATCCAGACGTACAGGTGTGAGATACCAGGATACAGTAACTTATGAATGTGATACAGGATATTCCATGGTGGATCATCCAACTCGTACTCTGACAGCAACGTGTATGGCAAACAAGCAGTGGTCTTCTCGGAAACCTTCATGTGAACGTAAGTGATGGACTATTATCACTCTTGCCGTCTCCTCATTCACTCTCCTTCTCCTCCCCCCCCCCCCCCCCCCCGCCCACCCCCCAACCGCACTAAGCAACGAAGTACACCAAGTAACCATGTTTTAGCCCCAGCATCCGCAAACAAGCAAGCAGATCCAGGTGCACCCGCACACCCTCTGGGGCACTTGCATGCACACAGAGCCCCCCCCCCCACACACACACACACACATAGCCCCCCCCCCCACACACACACACACAAACACACCACTAGTGTACCCATAGTCACGCTCACGGACACCCACACAGCGTTCCACTCACTTTAGCATGCATTAGCCCCATCCCTCACGCAAACAAGTCAACAAAGAGGCATCTTTGGATTGAGGAGTGCTGGTTTTGAAACAACTGGTTTGAAGCTCAAAGTAGAGCTGGTGTTAGCTCAGAGCAGAGCTGCTGTTAGCTCAGAGCAGAGCTGCTGTTAGCTCAAAGTAGAGCTGCTGTTAGCTCAAAGTAGAGCTGCGGTTAGCTCAAAGTAGAGCTGCGGTTAGCTCAAAGTAGAGCTGCTGTTAGCTCAAAGTAGAGCTGCGATTAGCTCAAAATAGAGCTGCTGTTAGCTCAAAGTAGAGCTGCTGTTAGCTCAAAGTAGAGCTGCTGTTAGCTCAAGGTAGAGCTGCTGTTAAGTGTTAGCTCAAAGTAGAGCTGCTGTTAGCTCAAAGTAGAGCTGCGGTTAGCTCAAAGTAGAGCTGCTGTTAGCTCAAAGTAGAGCTGCTGTTAGCTCAAAGTAGAGCTGCGGTTAGCTCAAAGTAGAGCTGCTGTTAGCTCAAAGT